GGGCGCCATTTTTCTTCGAAAATGAGCAAAGAGTGTCCGTTACGTTAGCTGTTAGTGATAAACGAATTTTTGTGCACAGAAATTGAAGAGGAGGATATTGCCAACGATTGATTTCAACAGGACGGCGCTACGTGCCATATATCCTAAGCCACACTTTCTGTTTTTTTGCTTTGTTTTTGAAGATCACATTATCAGCCGCAGGGCTGATGTCGTTTGGCCACCTTCGAGCTGCGATTTGACACCGTTGGACTTTTATTTGTGAAGCCATTTGCGAAATACAGCTGAACATAATTGATTATGCGCTCAGAAATTGGACTAATGGTGTAGGCTACTGGATGATCGGCTTAACTCTAGTTTATTAAAAACTCTCGAATTTTTTTGAATTTTTTTCAGAGGTAGGTATTTGCAACCTGATTTCGGCTAATGAAAAGAAGTATCCAACAAGTTGTCACATGGGGTTATTTAAAACGGATCCAGATTTGTATCAAAATTATTGATTTTTCGGACTCGGATTTAAAAAAAATCCCAAAAGTCGAAAAATACGCCATTTTGGGAGTCCACAATATACATTCTAAATTATAGCTTACACTCCAACCTACAATTTGTGTTATTATCTTTTATGGAACCAGAGATATGGGCCATTGAACACGGACGAGCCGATTATGTTGGACATACCCAGAGGAGAAAAATTCGAGCCCCGATACTTAAAAGAAATTTCCAATTTAGGAAAACGTTGGTTTGCGTAGCCGGTGTTTGACATATCCGGGCGAGAAAATCTCAAGTCGGCTACTTAACAGGAGTATCAAATTTAGAAAAACTTTGGCCGGTGTTGGATGTACCACAGGAAAAAATCTCAAGCCCCAGCCGAATGCCAGCTACTTAAAAAAGTAATAAATTTAGTAAAACGTTGGTTTGCGTAACCGGTGTTGGACATTGGACCCGAGGGAAAAAATCTCAAGCCCCGGTCGGAGGCCGGCCACTTAAACGATGTATCAAATCTAAAAAAACTGAACAGAATCGGATTGTCCGGGCTTAAAGACCCATATCTCTGCATGCAGGAAAGATGATAGTGTAAGCTATAATTTAGAATGCATATTGTGGACTCCCAAAATGGGGCGTTTTTCGACATTAGGGGATTTTTTTTTTAAATGTGTGTCCAAAAATCAATAATTTTATACAACTCCTATTGGGTAAGTAAGTACCTCTGAAAAACACTTTCAGAAAAATCCGTGAGTTTTTTTTATAGAATTAAAAAAAAAAAAAAAATTATGTGGCGGATCCCGCCAAACCTTTCAATTTAACCCAAAAATCTAAATTTAAAATTGATAATAAATTTTAGCAAAGGATCGATCGACAATTCTTGTCAAAATGATATGAAACTTTTTCTAGATTATAGTTTCGAAACTAGAAGCCTATTGTTTTGTAATATTTCAATACCAATATCTCAATACCTAAAAGTTTTAAATACACTGTGTAACACAAAGAATAATTACAGAAAAAACATTAGATTGTAAAAGTAGGGACAAAATAGAACTGGATTAAGATTCCTTGGGCTCGGACTAAGATTAAATTGAAATATTCTACAACATTGTTTGTCATAAAATTCTATCATAGGTTCTAGAATACATGAAAACTCTAAATCCTACCTAAATGCCAGAATTTCATAAATATGAAAAACATATAATAGGGTTAAAGCCGTACTTCATTTGAGTTAAAATCTTTGGTGACTTATAGTCAAATAATAAAGTCACATAAAGTTTGGCTTTAACCATTCCATTAATATTTTTGGTGTATTCTGAAGCCTATAGTAGAATCATATGACAAATATGATTGAAGACTATTTTGACTTGCTACGATTCCATTTAACTGGATTGTCTAATCATATTTAAAAACCAGTAAGGAAAGTCAAAAGTCGGGCAGGCCGACAATACGATACCCTACACCGCTTCCTTATCTTTTATGCCAAATAACATTGCCAGAGAGTACATGATATCACTTCGAGAAGGATTATATTAAAACAAGTAAAAAAACATTAAGTTCGACAGGGCCAAACTTTTAATACCCTCCACCTTAGGGTAAAGGAAACATCAGAAGAAATGTGGCAAAAACCATTAAAATGCCGAATATCGGGAGGTGCCGTTATATGGGGGCTATACCAAATCGTGGACCTACACATGCAATGTTTCGCCAAAGGAGCTAGAACCCATTATGACCTAGAAATACCAATTTTCAGACAAATCCGTGAAAAAATGTGGCAAAAATCATCAAATTACCGAATGTCGGGAGGTACCGTCATATGGGGGCTATACCAAAACGTGGACCTATAATTACAATGACTCGCCACACGAACTGGGACCTATTATGATCTACAACTACCAATTTTCAGAGTAATTCTTGAAAAAATGTGTCAGAAATCATAAAAATACCGAATATTGGGAGGTACCGTTATATGGGGCCTATACCAAAACGTGGACCTATACATACAATATTTCGCCACACGAACTAGAACCCATTATGACCCACAAATACCAATTTTTAGACAAATCAGTGAAAAAATGTGGCAAAAAGTATCAAAATACCGAATATTGGGAGGCACCGTTATATAGGGGCTATACCAAATCATGGAACCATACATGCAATGTTTCGCCACCGGAGCTGGAACCCATTATGACCCACAAATACCAATTTTTAGACAAATCCGTGAAAAAATGTGGCAAAAAAAATTAAAATACCGAATATCGGAAGGTACCTTTATATGGGGGCTATACCAAAACGTGGACCCATACATGCAATGTTTTGCCACACGCACAGGGATCCATTATGACCTACAAGTACCAATTTTCAGACAAATCCGTGAAAAAATGTGGCATAAATAATCAAAATACCGAATATCGGGAGGTACCGTTATATGGGGACTATACCAGAACGTGGATCGATATATCTCATTTTCAACACCAACCATCCTAGACACAATACAAATAGCTCTGCTAAATTTTGGCGCTCTACGTCAAATAATGTGGGCTGTATCGTGATTTCAACAGACAGACAGACGGACAGACAAACAGACGGACATCGTTAAATCGACTTAGAATTTTATACTGATTATGAATATATATACCTTATGGGGTCTACGACGAATATTTATGGATGTTACAAACGGAATGACAAAGTTAATATACCCTCCTTTCCAAGGTGGAGGGTATCAAAATATATCGGAGCCGAAACCTATATATGGGAGCTATAGCTATATCTCAACTGATTTTCTCCGACTTGGATGTCCTTCTACTTCTGATTGAATTCGGTCGGATGTGCCAAAATTCAGGACTTTTAGACTGATATTGGTCATTTGGTGCACAATTAACCCGAAATCGGTTGATAAAATGTGGCAGAGGTATTTCTCTTTTGTATGTTTTATTAGGTACCAAATACCAAATATATCTCAACCGATTTTTACCAAATTTGATGTACTTTCTTCTTCACTCGGTTGAGTGGAAGCTAGATATAGCTTAATCTGATCCGATTATCACCATTTTCAATAGGGTACCCTGTTTCCAAATTTCATATGTATGGACGAATGGGCTCACATGCATAAATCGACTCAGAAGGTGATTCTATGAATATCCTCAAAACTATGGGTCTATCTCGTTTCCTTCTCCAGGTTACAAAAAAATATACAAAGTCATAATATCCTTACTGCTATGTGGTGTAGGGTATAAAAAGGCCAAAAAGAACCTTTGATCGTTAAATTATCAACCCGATTCCAAGAAATCTTAATTCACAAATTAAAAAAAAGATGAAACCGCGAACTTTTCCCCTCACTAAGGTTACTTTGTAATGTAAATACTTTGTAATGTAAACTTTCAAAACGGTGATACACTTGTCTTCTATTTTTAGCTCTATTATGATCAACTGAGTTTTTCCTATATTTATATTTGTGTTGTTATAATACCAATACCCCTACAAATTGCCTTTGTCTCCCTTCAAAACCTATAAAACAAAAATCAACTTGTATTTGTAATGGATTTTTAGTGCAACAACTAAAAAAAAACAATAATTGTGAGAATAACACACACACACACAAAGATGATGTTGCAGATAATGTGAACAACTTCAAATTAATTAAAATCATAAAAACTTTAAATTCATGCATTTTACAATTGAACAAAACAAAAACAACTGCAACACACACAATTATTTTTTAAATTTGCTTTTTTTCTCATTTGTTTCAAAAAAGACACATCAACTAAGAAGAGAAAACCTACACAATATACTCTAAGAGACGAAGGTGGTGATGGTGATTTTTGGGAGAACACAGTTTTTGATTGTTAAAACCCTTTTTTTGAAGTTAAATTTCAAAGGATTAAAATATCCAAAAAGTGTGACCCAAAATTCAATTTTACGGCTCTAAACAACAGTCACAGTCAAAAGAAATTCTAATGTTAGTTGGTGTGAAGACGACATAATGATTGATTTGATTTAATAACTTTTTAGCATATAGTTTAGATAAATTTAGTTATATGGTATTTAGATTAAGATTAGTTTTGAATAGTTGTAAAATTATTGAAAAACAATTTGTTTAAGATTAGTTTTTGGTTTTAGTTTGGAAAAAGTGTATCGTCGGGTTCAAGTTTCATATAAATATGGAAATTGTAATGAATTCAAGAAAATTAAAAAGGAAAATGGAAAAAAGGAAATTTTTTTTTTGAATAAACAACAACTAAAATGAAAAAATATGAAAATGAAAAATTTCAAAATGAAACTTAAAAACTAAAGATGATAATTGCTCTTATTGTTGTTACAAAATTCCCGATAAATCAAATCGCATGGTTTTGATTTATTAGAAATCCAAAGCAATTCATTTTCAGTTGCTTTGTTTGCGACTCCTTTGTTTGAAAACGAAGAAGTTTTGCGCATCAAAATTCAAACTTAAAATTTAAATCAAATTAAAAGGAAAAAAAGTAAAAAAATGAACTGAACCGTTCGACTCACTCACGACTCACAGTGCATTTCGTCACTATTATCGTTGGGACCACAGTTCTTGACACCATCACAACGCAATTTATCCGATATACAGTAGCCCACTTCACACTGGAAATGGTACGTGGACTCGCAGAGGAAACCAATGGCCGGTGGTCCTGGTCCAGAATCTTGTATTTCAGTCCATACAATGCGGAAGCCCTGTAAATGAGACAAAAATATGATTGAAATTTTAAAAGAAATAAGTTGAAAAGCAGTAATTTCGGCCGGGCCGAACTTTGAATACCCTCCACCATTTAGAACGAATTTGGAAATTTTCAAAAAATAGAATTCGTTAAAAATTCTTTTAAAACCTTAAAAACACTGAATACAGCCGTTATATTGGTGTCTATACGACGTAAACCTACATAGGCTTTGTTTGTCATAAGCCATTATCATATTCAAGTTCGAACTTGAAATAAACGGTGAATAATGTAGCTAAAATCATCAAAATTCCATATATAGGGAGGTACAGTTATGTCGGAGCTATACGAAGACCTGGGTCTGCATAGACAATTTTCTGTCACAGGCTGTAGCATCCATTACGAACTTAAAATACGACATCTCAAGCAATTTCGGTGAGTATTGTACCTAAAATCAAAGTCAAAATACCGAATATAGGGAGGTACTGATATATGGGGCCTATACGAAGACCTGGGACTGCATACACAATTTTCTGTCACAGACTGTAGTTTCCATTACGAACTCTAAATAAATAATTTAAAAATACTCCGGTGAATAATGACGTTAAAATCATCAAAATGTCGAATATAGGGAGGTACCGTTATATGGGGGCTATACGAAGACGAGTACCTGTACAGACAATCTCCTATCATAGGCTGTAGTTCCCATTACGAACTCTAAATTCGCAATTTGAAACTACTCCGGTGAATAATGACGCTAAAATCATCAAAATACCGAATATTGGGAGGTAATGTTATATGGGGGCTATAAGAACACGTGGAGCTGCACACGCAATTTTCTGTCATAGGCTGTAGTATCCATTAAGAACATCAAATACCAAATTTGAAACAATTCCGGTTAATAATATCACTAAAATCATCAAAATACCGAATATAGGAAGGTACCGTTATATGGGGGCTATATGAAAACGTTGACCTTCATGGCCCATTTACGAATTTAACGACAGATGGACATCGCTAAATCGACTTAGAATATTACGCTGATCAAGAATATATATACTTTGTTGGGTCTGACATGAGTTACAAACGGAATGACAAAGTTAATATACCCTCCATAGTGTGGTGGAGGGTATAAACAGAACAAGGGAATTAACTTATCTCAAAACACCTTTTAACCGAAAAGAATCGTAAAAGATATAGAGGTCTTTAAAAGAAATTCTAAAGATAGAATACTTTCAAATGGACTTTCCAAATGTATTTTAATGGACAATCAAAAGGTCGTTCAATGGGACATTCAAGAGGTCTCCTAGAAATAGAGAGCCTTATGATGAAGGTTCTTTTATAAAGGAACGACCCTCAAATAGTCTGTAATCTTTCTTATTTGAAAAAGCCTTAATTTACTATGGGATCTTTGCCGAAAAAAAGTAACCCAATTTTATAAGGTTTTCCAAAGGACGTCTGTAGAGGGAGGACTTCCAAAGGTTCTTTAATGAATGGCCGTTTGAATGTACTCAACAAAAGGTAATTTAAATGGAAATTCAACAGTTCCAAAAATAGAGTTCCATATATAGAGGACCTAAAAAGAATGTTTCATTGATGTTGCAACTTATAGCGGATAGCAGAGAGGTCAAAAAAGTCTTAACAAAACAGAGGACCTTTTAAAAGATCTTCTCTACAAAGTAGACGCTAAATAGATAGATATAATTCTATAAACCCCAATAAACAGAAAACCTTCTTCTGCTAAAGAAAGAGGGTCTTGGAAAATTTTTCTATTAATTAAAGACCTTTAGCAGATCAAACGTTCTTCTATTGAAAGACGTCGTTCAAAAACCCCTTTACCCTCAACCGATTGGGAACCTTCTATAGCTAAATATAGAGGGCCTCGAAAAGTTCTTCTGTAAATGAAAGACATTTTAAAGTTATTCTATAAATAGAGGGCATTCAAAAGATCTTTTTTAGAGTGAAGGGCTCATTAGAAGAAATGGTCATATTCGGAGAGAAAGAGAGACAGATAGAGAGAGAGAGAGAGACAGAACCTTTGAAAGGTTGTCTGTAAAAAAAAGAGGTGGAACCATCAAAAACTATTCTATGGATGAATAACTATCAAAAGCTTAAGAACTATCAAAAGTCTTAAAAATTATTTTTATGTATATAAACACTTAAAATTGTTCAAAAAGTCATCTACAGAGAGAGAGAGAGAGAGAGAGAAAGAGAGAGTGAATATTCAAAAGATCTTATATGGATGAGGAACAGTCGAAAGGTCTGCTTTAGGTAAAGAATTTTTAAAAACGTTTTCTATAGCTGAATGTTCATGTATATCTTCAATATATATCTTCAATAATTTGGGGATCTTCGAAAGGTTTTCTATAATAAGAGAGCCTACAAAGGGTCATCTATATGATCTTCAATGTATCTTCTACAGGTAAGAACTACAAAAGTTCCTCTAAGAATAGAACTACATTCAAAAGTTCCTTAATATATGGAGACCTTTAAAAAGTCTTACATACATAAGGGATTTCTGTAGACAGTCGACTTTTTAAGGTTTCTAATAAAAAAAGTAGCCGTTCAACAGGTTTTCCATTGGTAAAGAATCTTCAGCACCATTTTTTTTTACAGAAAGAGGACTTGATAAAGGACGATGACTTTTTTAAATTGATAAAATGTCTTCGGTAGATAGACAATTTTAAAGTCCTTTTTTAGAATTTTGCCTTGTTAAAGTTTTTTATAGAAAGAAGCCGTTCAAAAGATCTTCTATAGGTAGAGGACATTTTGTATATACAGAGGGTTTAAGAACATTTTTAGGCTCGGTATTCTTTAGATTGAGGACCTCCAGAAGATCTTCCACAACTTACCGGTGCACCAACAGTTTTGTCACTGGTGGTAAAACTAATACGAGCCGTTTGTCCCGTAGAAATATAATGCCATTGTTCCATGGGTGGCTTTTCCCCACACAATTCCAATGGCGGCTGATCAGAGTCCACATTTACCCAAAGACGCAAAACAGCAGCAGGGCAACCACGATCTAAAATACAACAACAAACATGTCACATAAAATTGCTCCATAACGTCGAAAATCTTTATCCACACTCACTTGCTGGATCACCCTCCAATGAGAAATGTTCAAAATGAATTGAAAGCTTGTAGCCCTGTTTGGCTGTCATCAACCAATTACAGGCCATTGAGGCCATGCCACGTCCCGGGGCCTTATAACCGGCAGGATAGTTCGGTGATGTTATAATGCCTGAATCTTCACTGGAAAAGTTGCCTCCACAGTCGCCTATCTCACTTTTAGCAGTTTCAAAAAAATAACGAGCCTTAAAACCACTGGCCACATTCTCTTGATCGGTATGCAATGTAATACGCAAGCCCACCGCACCCCTTGGGCTCTCGACGGGGCCGGGTGCTGTCATACCACAATAGCGACCAAGAAAACGATCATTATTATCCCGATAGACGACATACATTTCCAACCAATCTTCAAAGCAATTAACAGAGCTGCGGGCAGAGAAATATTAGGTTTGGTACGAAGGGGACAGGGTTGATCTAATACTCACCCATATGCCCCGGCGGTAACATTTGCATTTCCATCGGCCTTGATTTTGAAATGATCGAATACAATTGTAACCTGTTCATTGGCCTCGGCCAAGAACAGATACGAGCAATTCGTATCCGAGGGATAATTCGATGGATAGCGGGGGCTGTTCAATTCGCCGCGTTTCTTCGATGAACTGACATAGGTAAAGCTACAGGTGCCGTCGGGTGCCGCCGTGCCGGGTATTTTGTACTCGGTTTCAAAGGTGTATTTACCCTTGAAACCCCTACCCTGCAGTTCACCCGAACTAAAGACCATGGCCAGACGGGGCCCATCACTAACAACACGTTGAGTTTCATTGCCACACAATTCGTAATCGAATTTGTCGTAAGCATCGGCAGTTTCTTGTCCCTTCAGATAGACCTTCAGATAGCCATCGGTACAGTTTGATCTGAAAACCAAATAATATTTTTAGAAGATATTTGTTAAATTTAAAACCATGCGATAATGGACTTACTCGCTCTTATCCTTGTGCTCCACTTTTGGTATGTTAAATGCCAAAAATTCCAAACGCACCCGTTCCAAATGTTGGGCATCTTGCATACCATAAATGAAATATCTAAAAGGAAGGAGTATGAATGGATACGATTTCTCTGTTTGTGCTACATATATGGCCATATTTTTTATTGTTACTTACCTACACACTGTCTTTGGTATATAGGGATAAGGATAATTGGGCGATAAGACAAAACCTGTGGATTCCTTTTTTGATAAAATCTTTTGATCACATTCGGAGCCACGTATGTGAATGCCATCATTTTCTCCTGTTTGTTTGTTTGTTTTTGTTTTAATTTTTTTTTAGCGAAGGAAAAACGATGATTATTTGTTTGGCGGTGTGTGTGAGTGAACAGTTGGATGTCAAATTTAGTTTGTTTGAAGAGTTCGATTCATTTGAATTGTGAGACAAGGGTTGTTGATAGTTTGGAAGTTTTTAGATTTGTTTTCGGGTTTTTTTATGTAGATAGGAGGGAAAAGAGTTGTAAGTTTTTGATAAGAATTAGTATTAAGTTTTTTGTTTTTGCAATTTTATATAACCAATAAATGTAAGAATAAAAAATAATCTAACAAAAGATTTCATTTGTGCTGTAAAATACATCAAAGTTCCTCCGCTTCAGTATTGACTCAATAATAACAAACACATACAATTAGCCATGAAATGTAAATCAAAATCCATTCGAAAATAATGCTGAAAAACTTAAATAAAAATTCAAATTGATTGAGTGGAAATATTCTCGACCAAAAATTGCTTAGATTTATCCAGATGGTGTGGACATATCCTTTGGGATTTTTTGTGATTCATAAAGTTGTCAGGGTTTAGCATGGCATGTTTTTAATACACACCACCATTCTATAGAGGGTACATTGAGTTCACGGAGGTGTCTTTTTGAATGGATCCCGAATGTCCAGTATTTTGATTATATTAGTCAATTTTTTTCAATAGAGTTGTTTGGAATTTGGTACTTGAACTTCGAATTGAGTATATATAGCTCTGTTAAAAAATTCTGCATATAGACCCCATATTTCGGCATTTTGAAGATTGGTGCGACATTTTTTAAGGGAATTGTTTCAAGTTTGGTAATTGAAGATCATAATGAATACTACTTCCTGTGACCCTCCACAAAATGCCATTGGACCAGTACTTGTCTTTATTGGTATTTTGTTGGCTTTCGCCAAACCTTCTGAGGGATTCTTAGTAAAAAAAATCTTGTCGCAAAAGTGTAATTCCCAAACAGTATATTGTGTAACTCAAAAATAATTACAGATAAAATTTATATGATGAGCAAAAAATAGAAGACACTTGTACCGGTATTTTGAAAGTTTACATCGCACAGTAATCTAAATAGAAGGCGTAAATTCTCCCCTATTCCACTTTTTGTGAAATTTTCGGATTAAGCTGGGTTCTGTGCATTTGAGGTGTATTCCGTCGAGCGAGTTACCAAAGGGGCCTTTTTGGTCAAAATATGGTTAGGAGCTCCCTTTGGACGGGATCATTGAAAATCACATTTTAACTTGTTGTACAAAATGCGAACTATCACATTCGCTAATAGTTCGCACACCCCAGACTGAAAATTTGACCCGAATGCGGGGAAAGTGTTAAATTCATCGAAAATAAAATGGGTGTAGGGTATAAAACATACAACACTACAGGGTGAGATAAAAAACTGCAAAAAAGTCAAACGCCATAATTTTTACATTTTTTTAATGTTATTGAATGAAAGCAAACAATATCGGAAATAGCATCAAATTTTAGAATAAGTTTAGATTCGTTCGAATTGGTCAAATTTGGCACGAATTATGGCCTTCAAACGGCCAATGAAACCGTCACACGCTGTCCGAATGGTGCTCTGGGCTATTTTGGCCCATTCGCAGCGAAGCGCTTGCTTGAGTATTTTTTAGTGCCAACCTTGCTTTCCAAAATATTCCAGATACAATAGTCCAACGGATTGGTATCCGGAGATTTTGGTGGCCATTGTGCGACGGAAATGAAACGAGGGACCTCATTTTGTAACCATTCCAGGGTGGCGCGTGCTGAGTGCGACAGTGCTGAGTCCTGTTGGAATGTCCAAGGTCTGCAGCAAAAATGTGCCCAAGGCTTTAATACAGCCTTCAGAATATTTTCGCTATAATATTCGGCATTTGTTCTGATGCCACGGTCGATTAATAGGAGTGAAAAGCGACATTCGGCTGTTATGGCGGTCCACACAACCACCATGGTCGGCGCTTGAGTTCTGCTGGCCAACCGAAGGTGCACATTTTCAGCTGACCTCTTTGGCAAGTAAACACGATCATTTTGTTTGTTTAAAAACTGCTGGACAGAGAATGTTTTCTCATCGGAGCAAACCAAATTCGGCAGTTCACTACTTTCGGCCAAGCGAAGCAAATCTTTACTCCCGAGTTCATTTTTTCAATATTTGCCGAATGGAATATTGTGATATGTTCAGCTCACCAGACATTTTTCGGCCACTGCGACGCGTTTCGATCAAATCGCTTCTTTACTTTTCGAACCATTTCTGCTGATGTTGTTGTTTTCTCCCGTCCAATTCCTTGACGTCGGGCTACGCTACCAGTATCACGGTAACGAGACACAAAAGATTTATTCACATTTAAATGCTGGAGTTCTCTAACGGCGGCCACTTGTGGTTTTCCAGCCAAATATAAAGAAATCACACTATCACGCTTAAATCCATTACGAATAACTTTTTCTCTGGAAAATTCTCACCAAAATGCTTTTGTACGCTTGTAAACAATATAATGAGCTGTCACCGGAATAATTTTAACAGCTGTCGGACGAGTGGCTTGGAAATCAAAAAAGTCTGAAGTTGTTTGCAGTTTTTCATCTCACCCTTCCTTATTCACTGTCCGTCCGTGCATTTCTCCATCTCCATCAACAAAGTATTTTCTTAGAATCGAAGGACCCTTATTTAACTATTCTCTCCTTGCTCGATTCCACGACCAGGCCCGTTTTTCTGCGGTTTAAAAACTCTCGGACAATTTTCCGAGTATTTAAATTTTAGCATGTTTATCAATATACATTCAATGAACTCGAAATGCCTCACTCATATTTCGAATAGAAGACAGATTGAAAAAAAAAACTTAAATAATGAAATGAATCAAATCACACAAAAATATAATAAAACACTGAACAATAAAATACCATATGTTGGTTGTTCAATACTTACGTATAAAATCTAATTTAACAAAACTTTCACTAAATTCATAAATTCCTTTAAAACCACGATTTTGGGTATTTGCGGTGCGCGATAATGTAAAAAAATGAACAAAGAGACTCGATTCGCTGGAATATAAAACTAGATTTCTTTGCTGTCCGCAATATGTACCAATTAATGCTGATGAATTGTCGGGACCATCGTAAACTTTAACATAATCGAATGGGCAGCTGATAGATTTTGAAAAGTAGAATGATAGTTTCGTTTTTGTTGTAGAAGTGATTAGAGAGAAATAAAACAAAAACAAGGAAAACAAAAGAAAAAGAAATTGGAAATGGAATTTTGTTAATAATTTTGAAGCATAAAGCAAGGCTTTAAACAGCTAAAGTATATTTTCGCTTAAAGAAAATATACTTTAGAGTAAAGCTCTTCGCAATGGCTCTCCATCTCTCGCTCTGTGTAAAACTGCAGCCATTAATGGTACTCACTGTGGTCCACCAAAAAATAGATCAAAATCACGAAACTCTAAACGAACTCTCTGATTAGATTCACCCAAAAACTGATATGTACAGGACATATCCTTGGGATAGGCACCCGGGTATGTGGGCGATATTAGAACGCCCGTCTTGTTTATACTCAAACTGGGCGTTATCGTATAGGAACATGGCGAACCAGCAATTGGTATACCAATCTCATATTCCGCTAAAATGGAAATCGGATGGGGAAAAGTTGAGTTATTTCAAAGATGGCATAGAGGGGATGTGACATACGCTTGGGGACGTGTCATACTTACATGCATTTATAAATCTAAAAGTGCCCTCGAATAGATCCGGTGTGGTTAGATTTTTATTGGTAAAAAATGAAATAGCTATGGCACGATACATGGAAATGCGTTGTCGGGGTGGTATTGTACCACAATAACGGCCACCAAATGGTGAGTTTATCAGTTCTGCTGGTTCCGATGATTGCACTTCTGAGTATATATCCATATACTCATGAACACATCTGTGAAAAAGAAAAGAATGATAATTTTTATTAAGAATAATATTAAAAAGAATGGAAAAGTTGTTCCGCAGAATTGAAGAAACGAGTATTTAATGATACAACATGATACCCTACCCACCACTAGAAGAACCTCGGCAGCTATTCTATGGCTAGAAGGTCATCAGCAGCATTTCTATGGCTAGAAGAGCTTCAGTAGCTTGTCTGTGGCTAAAAGAGCTTCAGCTGCTTGTCTGTAGCTAAATTAGCTGCAGGAACTCTTCTATGGATAGATGAGCTCTATTAGTTATTCTATGGCTCGAAGAGATTTAGCCGCTCTTCTATGGCTAATTCTGTAGCAACTCTTCTATGGATAGATGAGCTTTATCAGCTCTTATCAGGGTAGAAATCTTTAGCAGGACTTCTTTGGCTGAAAGAATTTCAGCCGATCTTATATGGGTAGAAGAGCTTTAGCCGCTATCCTATAGTTAGAAGAGCTTAATCAGCTCTTCTATGGTTAGAAGAGCTTCATCAGCTCTTCTATGGCTAGAAGAACTTCATCCGCTCTTCTATGACTAGAAGAGCTACATCTCCTCTGCTATGACTAGACGAGCTGCATATGCTCTTTTATGGCTGGAAGAGCTTCAGTCGCTCTTCTTTGACTAGAAGAGCTTCAGAAGCTCGTCTATGGCTAGAAGAGCTTCATCAGCTTGTCTATGTATAGAGAAGCTTCAGCAGCTCTTTTATGCCTAGAAAAGAATTTCGTCTATGACTAGAAGACTTTGTAATTAGGTATTCAGCATCTCATCTCTAGCAAGAAGATCTTCCACATTTCTTCTATAGATATTAATACGAGGGTGCCCCTTCTGTAACCCTCACTGCATTATGACTTTGAGAAAGCTTAAATATAAAATCGTATGAAATATATATACAGGGTTAGATGAAAAAACTGTTACCAACTTCAGACCGTTGTCATTTCTAAGCCACTCGTCTAATAGCTGTTAAAAGTATTCCAGTGATAGGTCGTTATATTGTTTACAAGCGTACAAAAGCATTTTGGTTACCGTGATACTGGTAGCGTAGACCGACGTCAAGGAAGTTGACGGAGGAAAACAGCAACATCAGCAGAAATGGTTCGAAAAGTAAAGAAGCGACTTGATCGAAAACTGCGTCGCAGTGGCCGAAAAATGGCTCGTGAGCTAAACATATCGCAATATTCCATTCGGCAAATTAATGAAAAATGAGCTCGGGTAAAGCCATTGAAATTCCAAAAAGTGCAAGAACTTACACCGCTGCAGAAAGAGAATAGACTCAAAAGAGCTGAAGAGTTGCTTCGCTTGGCCGAAAGTGGTGAACTGGCGAGTTTGGTTATCTCCGATGAGGAAACATTTGTTGTCCAGCAGTTTACTTGCCAAAGAGGTCAGCTTAAAATGTGCACCATCGGTTGACCACCAGAACTCAAGCGCCGACCACGGTGATGGTGTGGGTCGCTATAACAGCCGATGGTTGCTCTCCGCTCGTATTAATCGACCAGAATAAATGCCGAATAATATAGCGAAAATATTCGGGAGGGTGTATCAAAGCCTTGGGTACGCAAACATCTTGGCCGCAGACCTTGGACATTTCAACAGGACTCAGCACAATCGCTTCATTTCCAGCGCACAATGACCACCAAAATCTCCGGATACCAATCTGGATTATTGAGTCTGGAGCATTTTGAAATGCAAGGTTGGCACTAAAAAATACCAAAGTGTCGATCACCTCAAGCAAGCGCTCCGCCAGGAATGGGCCAAAATGCCGCAGAGCACCATTTGGGCAGCGTGTGACGGCTTTATTGGCCGTTTGAAGGCCATAATTCGTGCTAAAGATGACCAATTCGAACAAATCAAAACATATTCTAAAAGTGGATGCTATTTCCGACATTTTTTGCTTCATTCAATAAAATTTAAAAAAAAAATATATAAAAATGATGGCGTTTGACTTTGTTGCAGTTTTTTTATTTCAGCCTGTATTCTGTAACATTTAACTACTCTTGTTATTGTAACAAAGCCAAAACAAACGAATGCGATTAGTAAAGTTGTTAAAAATGTATAGAATAGGCCTACTGATTCAATTTTCAAACACATACTTCTAGGGCGAATCCGGTCGCATGTGCGAAAATCTAACCTATTTGATCAGATACTACACATTTAGTGCACAATAAAAGTGAAATCGGACTATGGTATATGTGCGAGCTATTTCCATATCTAAACTGATTACCGCAAAATTTAATAGGAAATTCGTAGAAATATTAATGAGTATATTTGCAAAATAGTAGTAGTAGGATAGAATTCAGGCTTTATCGATTCGCTAAACACCATGGGACTGCATTCAGTACCTGTTAGTATCGTTAATTGTTTGTTAAAAATTACAACCTGCCCGTCCTACCCTTTACGATCAAATTTTCAAAAATGCAATTCAGAACTACACACCAAGAGTCATCCTCCCCAATTTATATTTCTGAGGGCCTCAAAATTTTTCCAATTAGATTTTCTAACAGAATATTTATATTTTACTGGAAGAACTTGTTTTGTTGTTGTTTACCCATCACCACAAACACATTTATATTTTAATAAAAAATATCCAATAACATCCAATTTGGAAAATAAAACTGAAATTAATTTTCTCCAATTCTACGAAAATGACAAACAATTAACATAATTGGAATATAATTCCAAATAAATTGCAATTAAACAATGGACAAAAGCCAACCAATTGGCAATTGTCATTGACAATGGAGGGGGAGGGGCAACAATTGCATTTATTTGACATTAAAATAAAAACACTAAAGAAAATTGCTACTTACGATGGTAATTCACCAACGGCCGAACCGCTATATCAATCAGAGAATAAGAGGAAGAGAGAGATTGGGAGTAAAAAAGAAGAGTTAAATCAATTAAATTCAATTTCATTTTATTTAATTCCGTCAGCAAATGGCTCTTTTCCGCAGCCGATGCGGCGGTCACTTACTCTGGTGGATTTCCTCTTAGATTAAATGATTTAAAAACTACTTCAACTCGTTGTCCGGGTCCTGCTAGGAAAGTGTAGAGACATTGACGCGAATGATTCTGCTGGTTGTGCAACAGTGGAGCTGTGAAGGTACCATTCTGGGGGCCGCCAATGCGTGAGACGAACGTCTGGTCGCATTCTGTAAAAAATACGGAAAGAGAAGAGAAGGAAGGAAAAAAATGTGGGAACAACTTAAAAATGTACCAAAATCAAGGTACATACATATGAATGTACATACATATGTACAAATATTTTATAAGGGATATAAATAAGAAGTCGAAGAAAAAGCATCACCAACATAAAGCCATATCACACAAACACACGCACACATACACACACAAGCTTATAAACATTTTCATACACAGCAATAAAACACACACACAAGGATTACAAGCAAATTGGAAATTGTTTGTGTAATGAGCACAGATGGGCAAAATATGGCTTAAGATAATATTGAAATAACTTTCCTATGTTGAGTTTTTTTACGTATTTAATAATTTTCAAACAAAAATATAATCAAAATTAGCTCAAAAATTATTTTGTGGAAATAATTATTAAAAATGATTCGTTTATGTCCGTTTATTGATGTTTTTCTCATGACGAAGAATAAGAAACATCAATGCTAGCGTGCATACTTGTCCATCTATTGTATTGAGGCAGAAGAGAATGGGAAGACATTTGAGAGAGACACACTTTTGTAATGGGACTACTTTTGACAGTAGAACAATTTTTCCTCTCTTTCTCTCAAGTAGGCTCGCTTTTTGAGAATTTTTAGAGTCGAGCTTTGAAATAATTGGAGAAAAATAAAACAAATTGATAAAAAAATTATATTTAATAAAAATTCAAGTAAAATGACTACTTTAATGAATAATCATTTAATGAAGCATCTCTGTTTCTAAAATAATCCTACTTGTATGCCGTTTAATTGTATTTATCTGTTATAAAACTATAAAACGAAAAGTAAATTAAATAGAGGGGGACAAGTTAAACACACGCCCCCCCCCCCCCCCCCCCCCCCCCGCATTTTACGCAATTTTCGTATTAGGATTTGTTGGAAGTCGTTAATTTAGATTCATAGTGTCTTCGTCAATATTACTTACAGCAATACGAGAATTGTATTGGTCCTTTTGTACTTTTTTAAAAATATGGTTCAAAATTACCTTTAAAGGGGATCATAGCAAGTGAAAATTTTATTATATACAGGGTGAGATGAAAAAAATGCAACGAACTGCAGACTGCTGTCATTTCAAAGCCACTAATCCGACAGCTGTTAAAATTATTCCAGTGACATTTTAGTTAGCAAGCAAGTTATTCGTGACGGAATTCAAGCGTAATTTCTTTATATTTGGCTGGAGAACCACAAGTGGCTATCGTTAGAGCACTCCAGCATTTAAATGTGAATAAATCTTTTGTGTCTCATACCATCGCTCGTTACTGTGATACTAGTAGCGTAGCCCGACGTCTAGGAAGTGGACGAAAGAAAACAACAACATCAGCAAAAATGGTTCGAAAAGTAAAGAAGCGACTTGATCGAAACCCGCGTCGCAGTGGCCGAAAAATGGCTAGTGAGACGAACATATCGCTATATTTTTATTTTTTTTTTTCGCCAAATATTGAAAAATGAACTCGGGGTAAAGCCATTGAAATTCTAAAAAGTGCAAGAACTTACACCGTAGCAGAAAGAAAATAGACTCAAAAGAGCTAAGAAGTTGCTTCGCTTGGCCGAAAGTGGTGAACTATCTAATTTGGTATTCTCCGATTAGAAAACATTCGTTGTTCAGCATTTGGTAAACAAACAAAATGATGGCGTTTACTTGCCAAAGAGCTGAAAATGAGCATCTTCCGTTGGCCATCAGAACTTAAGGGGATATCAATCCGTTGGATTATTGTGTTTGGAGTATTTTGGAAAGCAAGGATGGCACTAAAAAATACCAGATTGACGATCACCTCAAGCAAGCTCTTCACCGGGAATTCACCAAAATACCGGAGAGCAACATTCGGGCAGGGTGTGACGGTTTCATTGGCCGTTTGAAGGCCATAATTCGTGCCAAAGGTGACCAATTTGAACAAATCTGAACTTATTCTAAAATTTGATGCTATTTCCGACATTGTTTGCTTTCATTCAATAAAATTGAAAAAAAATGTAAAAATTATGGCGTTTGATTTTGGTTTGCAGTACAGTTTTTTTATCTCACCCTGTATTTCACAACATTTAATATAGGGAAAGGATTGGAAAATATGACCTAAATCCTCGAGAACTTTGCATTTGTCACAATGAAATTTGATCTGGAATATTTCTCCTTTTTGCACATTTTCCCAAAAAAATGAGGTATTTAGAATGATTTTGACTTAGAATAGAAATGTGTTAAATTGACAGTACAAATCTCGACGCATAATTTTCACTTCTAATATAGAAATTTCGAATGTAATTTCCCTAAAAACTATTAAACCAATATATATTATTTAATCTGAGATTTGAAGTGGAATTTTCTGTAGAATATTTCTTCTCTTGACAATTTTTGACTAAAACGAAATTGTCCTTGAATTGTTATCAGTAATATTCCCAACGACACTGTATACCTAAAATACATGGTTTCCAAGGAATCTCAATTCGAAATTTTTAAAAACAGATGTGAAAGAGGGTAATCTTGGCACCACTATTTAGCTTACTGTGCGATCAAAAATTTCCAAACGCCGATACATGTGTCTTCTGTTTTTAATTCTACTCTCAAAATCTGCAGTATTTTTTTCTGTAATTATTTTTTGTGTTCCACAGTGTTGTATGAGTTCTTTCGCCTGTCATTTGATCAATATCTGACGGAAATTAATATTCTATATGCCTATGGAAGCCTTAGAAGCCTATCTGCAGAACACCTGTAGAAGGTCTTACATTTGAAGAAAAGCTGTGGAACGTCTTTTGTCAATACTTGACGTAAATCTTCTATCTGGAGAAAATCCGTTGAAAGTCTTCGGGGTTCTGTCCTAGTAAGATAAAATAACTGTCGAAATAGTTTTTATATGTAGAAGGTGTAAGTATTGAACGTATTCATCAGTGTGAGCTCAGTAGAATAACTTTTTACTAAAATACCAGTTTCAGATATTATATGAGGAAGACCTGCAGAAGTCTTATATTTATAGAACAGGAGGCCTTCTATTTGCAGAAGACCTGTCGAAGGTCTCGTTAGACCAATCTCTTTCTTGAAGGTCTTGAAGAAGTTCTTAAGATATTGATAGCCTGTGAAAGGTCTGAGGTCTCTTTGTCTGATTTGCTATCTGTAGAAGAAATGTGGGTGATCTTCAATCTATCGTAGAACTGTGGAAGGAATTTTATCTGTAGCAAAATGTAAAATATCTTCTGTCTGTAGAAGATACGTGGAAGGCATTCTTTCCAAAAAACATATGAGAAAGTCTTTAATATTTAAAGGGCTTGTGGAAGGTACTCCAAGGAAGACCTGTAGCAAATTCTTCAGATCTTCTATCTTTAAAGTACCCGTGAAGGGCATCTTATCTGTACTTTTGGAGGTTGTTTATCTGTAGATGGTATCCTGAAAATCTTTTATATGTAGAAGTCTGTGAAAGGTATTCTATTTTAGAAGATTTTTGTAAGGTATTCTGTCTATGAGAGACTTCTATCTATATTAAAGGCACACCTGTTGGAGGATAAGTTATTTGTAGAAGACGAGGGTAAGTTATTTGTAGAAGACCAGAGAAAGAAGGTCTGTTTGGATAGTTGCAATTGGACGTATTTAGAAAAAATATCTGTGAACACAAATTGTATCTAAATTATAAATTATTATTAAAATACTACAATTCATTCCCTCATTACAATAATTATAAATTAATTTTTGACACCAAGAGTGTATTGTGCATTACAAAATATATATTGTGAATTCAAAATAAAATTGTGAAAATAAAAACACCAAAAAAAAAAAAAAAATAGTAAAAATTATCATCAACAAAAATGCTCTCCAAAGTTTCTATAATTATTTCTTCAAACAAAACGGAAAAGAACATTTACAAATCACACTTTCAATTCCAATACAAACAATTATGTACATAGAAACCATTGCTAATTTTGTTTTGCTAAGAAACCTACTTGGAGTTTTTAATGTGGGTCTCGGCAGCGAATCCAAATAAGCCAATGCCTGGGTACGGGGTTCGTCCCTTAGATAAATGGAGGTAGAAGAAGCTGGATTGGAATCAACTGCCGAGTTCAGTTCGAATTTGTTTTCAATTCAATTTTGGGTTTTGTACAGAGTTTTTTTTTTGTGAGGTAGAGAAATGCGTGCCAGATGTTTTTTTTTTGGGTAAAAGTTGATGATGTAGAAGAAGAAGAAGAAGTTTTGAAAAAAGAGGGAAGAAAGAAAAAAAGAAGAGATATGATTTTTGTTTAACAATTTGAATTACTTTTGCAAAAAAAGAAATCGAATTAAATTCATATTTAAATAATTTCGATAATAATTTTGAATTGCAAATATTTATTATAAATTCGTGCAATGTGTGTATTTCTGCCAAAAGTTTGACTGTATATTTTTGAGGGGGTGTGTGTGTGAGTGAAGGGGTCTATTTTGCTTTGATAGATTGAGTGCGTGCGCTAGAAGTTTTATGAGTGGCGTTTTGTTATCGCTAACATGCAGTGAAAATTTGTTGTACGAGTATGTTTGCTGTATGTTACATGTATCTATGTACGGCATGTCAGTTTACATGTATGTATTTTATAAATGTGCATGTGTGTGAGCGTGTGCGTTGTATTATAACTGCTGATAAGCTACTTTGAAATTTAAATTATATTTGCTCATAAATAGTAGCTAAATTAAATTTTTTTATGAATTGATTGAATTTATAAATATTTATGGAAATGCTCTCACCTAAATGATTTTGTTTGTAACAAGTTAAAAAGTATCGGTCGGTATTGCCGATAGATATATACCCTCAGCCTGCGTTCGATTATTTAAATATAATTTGACTAGTGTTACAATTATTCAAACGTTTTACCCTCTATGGAGCAGGTTCCGAAGGAATGGGCCAATATTGTCTATTTCCTATCGGACCCCAAAATATGATACAAATATTCCGACGTTCCTGGTGTGGATTATATCGACTAACTCCTTCGCTATATATGAGATATGTAATAATTTT